TGTATTTTCAACGACCGACAGTTTCACTACCTAATTAAAAGTGAAATCAAAATTAAAATTTTTTGAAAACGATTTTTATATGATAAAATGGTTTCAATAATTCTAAAAAAAAACACTATCATTTGATTGATAATAATTCTTTTCTTTTAATTCTCTTTTAAGCTATAATTAATGCCTAAAATACCGAAATATATCTGTTAAATATTGATTCATAATATTGATTAAATTACAAAATACCAATCCTTAATACGTTAATACGCTTAAATATTGTTGTGAAAATTATTATTTATAATAAGATACGTTTATTTCCAAATTAGCGAATTTTAAGTCTCTTAATTACCCTTCTCAAATTGCAATTGTCAAACCCTATCTAAAATTCATTAAATAGGAAGCTAGGAAAGGTTACCTTTGGAACAGGTAAATCCCTATTTATATATGCTTTCGTTTTGACTTAGTGAAGAAGTTTCTGTTGTGTAAGATGTGAAGAAAATTGTTGTCGACTTCCAACTGAATTAATATCTCAAGGTATGTTTTTTTTATTTAAATCTTGATATTTCTCAACACGTTCCCAAAATTCCTATTTGTTTTGTTTTAAAATTACCTAAAGCTGTGTCTCTGTTAATTATGTTGTCTAAATTCGGTTTCAAAAAGAGATCATAATGCATCATTGTTGCCTTTCGATATTTTAAGACCTATTTGGACCATCTCAGGCGAGCCACCCCGTATATTTCTTATCCTATAGTAATTGGAAAAATTTTACGAAACACGTTGGATGATTTTCTTTGGGGGGCGTCTTTTGACGTATATTTGAGGCTTCAACGAGCAACCCCCTATGAGGGGGCGCTTTAACCCCTCAAAATTGAATAAGGAAGAGGGATTGGGTGATACTTCATTTGTAAGGTCTTGGAAGCCTCTTTACAACGGTGTATGAAATAAATCACATTCTTTTATTTATTTTTTTGTTCCTACAACAGTTTACATTTAAATATTTTGCCCAAATTAAGTTTAAAACATTTAGGGATTAGCAAAACTTATTGGTCTTATCTTACTGGCTGCCTCTTGGTTACTATTCTGCCACTATAAACACCTACAACAATGACGTAAAGAAGTCATCAAAAGTTACTGCTATAATACCAAGTGTAGGAGAACTACACGTCTCGTTATATCACAGATCTTGCCGAAGAAAAAAAAATACTAAAACTTGTCCAACACTTTAATTATTACTCGAAGGACCATGCAATTTTTAACCGCTTACAAAACGTTTTATTTAAACATGAAATATCTGTTATTATTGTCAGCAATGCCCTTTTTATCAACTCTGTCTCCCTCCTTAAACCCCCAGAAGTACCAGGCATATTGCTTTTAAAATTGTTTTGGATTAGTACCAACTGTACCTGTACCTAAGTTTAATAAGTTATAACGGACTATTATCCGTTCTAATAGAATTTTTATTACCCTTGATTGGAGCTTATTTTGGTATTTTGAAAAATTAGGGAAAACAGAGCTGTTACACTGCGGGTCTATACTATGAGTAGAAATATACAGTATGATACAAAAAAATATATTTATTGTAAATAATAAATTCAATGTATTCGAGACGCATGGCGAAAAAACATTTTCATTGGTTACACTTAAAACTAACTATAATCAGCATCTATCTCTTCCTTTAATGGATTTTTTTACTGGGAATTTTGATTTTAATTGTTATGCAGTTCTTTAAGCAGTTTTTCCATGTTCTTCCTTGTGTTTTTGTTATTGATTTATTGTTTAAACCTGTTTGCTTCGTTCTTATTTACAGCCTATTTTGTTCATTTTAATACATTTTATCTTGCAATTGCCGTATTATGCTTCTGTTGCTTATTCTGGTAGAGCTGTATTAAAATTGCTGTAGGGCTTAATGTTATTATTTAAAGAGAATTTGGAAGTGAAGTTACATCGTAGGTCTTTGTTAAAGAAGAAAAGAAATTCTCACCTATACTTGATTTGTTAATTTTAAAATTGAAATTTTCGTGATATTGTCATATTTAA